GGGGGAGAAAGAGAGACAGAGAGTTGTTGTCGTTGTTGTTGTCGTTGTTGTCGATCCAGCAACAGCTGGGCTCTCGCCCTTCTGTCCAAAGCCTTGTAGTGATAAGTGCAGGTTTTACTGCGGTTGCTGTAATGTTCCATAAAGTGTGTTGTCAATGTTAGGTCTTGGAGGGAGAAGGGAAGCTCTGATGTCATTTAGGGCTGTGCAGTGGAACAGGTGATGATCCAGTCTCGTAGTCACACAAGGGACACATTGGGGGGAAGTTCCGGGTTTATTCTGATTATGTGGAAGTTGAGCTGTATATATTCTGTTCGTAGGCGGAAGATCGTGGTCTGTTTAAGGGAGAGAGACAGAGGGAGAGAGAGGGAGAATGATTTACGGAGCGGGTTGTAGCACGTGAGACAAGTATTTTACTAATGTCCTGTCTTGTTATGTATATACGTGAGTGTATCTAACCTTGTAACATCTACTCATCTACTGCATGACCAAGAAACATTTCTCCCTACGAGATGAATAAAGAGTGTCATTGTCATTTGTATAACTATTGTCCTATCGACGACCAAAAGATTAAAGTTTCAAAGCTTTATACATTACAAGAAATATATGTGAGGCAGCGCGGTGGAATCAGGCTCTCGTCAATTTTTGGGCATATTGAGTTATTGGTATCATCTTAAAGCTTGTTCATTTGTCTTGCTTGCAATGAAAAAATGTCCCATCCATCTTCAATAGGAGTGGAGATATTTTGGATTGAAGGAGGTGGGGTCACCTGGTTTAAGAGGTAAAATTAGCGAGAAAATGGCGCCAAATCTTGGTAAATTCCAAAGCTGGAGAGTCGGCGGTAACTGTAAATTTATATTTGTTTCAGTGAAATCCTCAAAGGAATGTGTTTGTAAATGGATTTAAAACGTGTTAGGCAAAAAAAAACACCCACCAATTTGATAAAAATTGCTAAGCAGGGAGAAAATTGCTGTTTTCTTCGATTTCATTATTTTGACGAGAACCTGATTCCACCACGCTGCCTCACATATTATCTCAGGACTCTCTTTTTTATAATGCTTTTCTTTGTTTGTTTAAAATTCAAATTAATTTTTAAAAATCCCATACATTTCTCCCACAGTCCCACCCCAAACTGTCACCTTTGAGAGAACAGACAGGGGCAATAACTCACCTGTGGACATCTGCTCAGACTTCCCGCCACAGATACCGCTCCAGTGTTGGACGACCTCTAAGCCACAGCCCCAGTTCACAATTCTCGTGAACAACCAAGAGTACGCTAGGTCAAGGCCAGAGCATGTGGTTGGAAGTGGAAAACATACCAACCTGTACTCGTATGACTTTGTACCGAAAGCTGGAGGAACTTACAACCTCACCTGTACTGCCAAGGGAGACAATACAGCGCCTGTTGAAAGTGACCAGCTGATCATTCTCGTCAGAGGTACGGTCTGTCTGAATGTGAAATGGTAGGTCGCTCCTCAACATGTTTTAAAACGTTGCATAACTTCAAGCCAAACAAAGTTTCGGGCTTTACGATGCTAAAACCTATGGAGAGAATGACCAGTGGAAGGACTCCTTCATAAAATAATGGTACAAGCACTTCCGTTTTGGCACAATTCAACCAAATTCGACTGTGACCTTCGAAATCAACACTTTATTTTTAAACGTATCAAATTGAATCGGTCGTATTGTGGCAAAAGGATAGCTTTTGCCCCTTTATGAAGGAAAAGCCGACTTGCCCTGACTGACAATGGATTCGATCGGCAGTGAACACCTGGTGTAAGTGTGAATAAGCTTTAATTAGAGAATCCAAAGATGCTGTAAACTAACCGATCTTCATTTTCAGAACCACCACAAAAGGAACCGGAAATCACCATCACCAGCATCGGACCATCCGGCAACGTCTCGAAAAACCCGGAAGTCATCTATAAAAGCATCGCTACAAATGTCTCGTGCTTGGTTGATGGTGGATACCCGCCCGTGAGGACACAAGACATTCTGTTGACTTGTGGGAACATCTCCGGCTCTGAACAGATAACGCTTCCTCCCGGGCACTCTACAGACGGAGAAATAGCCTGCTCTTGTAGTGCGTCTCACATTACTGGATGTTACTCACAATCTGCTCACACAAGATTTAACGTTTCAGGTAAATTCCATTCCACACTTCATAGCTTGGTGTGTTCATCCTGTAGCTTCTTTCAACTAATACATTACTGTAAAGTGCAGTGTTGAAAGGGCCATGCATTCCAGCTAGATAGGATAGGCCAAGATGTACTGCACGGTGTGCTAAGTCTTAGGACGTTGACCTACATCATTCTTATGACTTTCACGCCTTCCTGGTCCTAAAGGCAAATTGCTACCTGTGTAAATGATACCTCTATTCTGATTGTTACTATTTCTATCAAGGCACCACGGTACTGCTCTGCGTGCGTTAATAATAATAATAATAATAATAATAATAATAATAATAATAGATAGCATTTGTATAGCGCATATCCCCGCTCAACAGCAGGCTCTATGCGCTTTACACTATATTATTTACACCCCAGCAGA